AATGGTTAAGAATGACTCAAATTGAGTATAATTTGACACTACAAATTTAATGGTGTATTGATGGCTTCAAAAATAACTGTAAAAAGATCGCATGGTATTAAAAATTTTTTAACATATTTATTTAGTTAAATTAACATTGTTTTAGTTAAATTAACGACATGTTGAGTAGGAGCAGTGGCGACCTATAAAAATGGTTAAGAATGACTCAAATTGAGTATAATTGGAGACTACGAATTTAACAGTGTATCGATGGCCTTAAAAATAACTGTAGAAAGATCGCGTGGTATTTAAAATGCTAAACATATATAATTACGGGCGGTTTTACTTCACAGACGAGAATGTATCTATATCTCCCGTCGCCGGATATCGGATCTCCCTGGGTGTTGGAGAAATAATAATAAACGCCGGAAGGAAGGTCAGCGACGGCGAACACGCGACTCTCTTAAGTGTCTAAAATAGACGTGAGCGCGCGCGGCCCTCATGCCAATGACCCAAATTTCCCTTATTCTCGACATAACATGAATCGACTTCGCGTACGATGTTGCGATATACATCGCGCCGGGAACGGATCATCCTGTCGCATCATCGCCCAATATTCCGTAACCCGCTATCACGTCATCGTTCCGCAATCGGTGGGTGAGGTGCGGGTGTGGCGGATATGCGATGGAATTATGCAAAGCGTATTCGGATCTACTTCGATCGAGATAGTCGTGAAAAGATGAGCCGACGGAGTCTTTAAAAGTAGAGTTTCTTTAGTCTCTTTATGCGATGTTCTTGAAAGTTAATGATTGGAGGACGCTAACTCATTTCAAATCTTATATTTGTTAGCAAATGCCTTTGGTAATTCTTCATTTATCATGATACATCGATGTCTACCAGATTTAATAAAAGAGAAGAAGGAGAGACGCGGAGTATAATTCGATTAACATTTTATATCAAAATGAATATTATCGCGAAATATTACGTATAATAGAATTATATTTGTGATAATGAATATAATATATATTTATTATTTCGATATTTTATTAGTTTGATAAAAGAGCGGAATTTGTTTTAATTTTAGAATGCAGCTGACGACCTGTTGCAGATGTTGTTCCCTGAAAACGGGAACAATCTTCAGCGGAGTATGTGGAATCGTAAGTTATACAATCATTTCTGTCATTTCCACAGCTCGCACGTGATTCAATTACTACACAAATCTGCTTTCGTGCAGGTACTAGCCGTGATTTCCCTGATCCTGATCTTCACGGCAAACGTAGAATGGAAAACGATAATCGTCGACATCCTAGACAAGACGGCCGTGAAGATCATCTTCGCGATAAATCTCTGCATGACCATCCTGATTTCTACGCTGCTCATAATCGGCGCCTTAAGAGTAAGGACATATTTCCATTGTGTCTTTGTATAACAATAATAAATCGCAGAAGAATAATCAAACCACAAAAAAGACTTAGAAATAAGATTAAACTATATAAAGTTGCTAAATGTTTAAAGATTCTAAATCTAAAATATTTTCGTAAATTGCCGTAGATTTTTCGGGAAATCAATAATTAACGATAAAAATAATGATTTTTATACATCTTGTACATTAATTATATATTGTGTATTGATTGTGTACAATTAAAATATATATTACATATAATAATATACAATTATATAGTATATAATATACATATATATGAGTATTTTTCTTAATTTATTTATTACGTAATATTTTATGTAATACTTTATAAATAAAATATAATTCTAACGCTAATCGGTTTTGTTTGCAGAAAAATACATTTATGATGCTTCCATGGGTGGTTCTGGGCATTATGCTGGCCGTCGCTCTTCTTGTGAGCGTCCTTTACACCTCAATTATGTTCTTCATAAACAGCGAAGTTCTTAATGGCGTTCTTTGGCTCGTTTTCGGTCTAATTGCTGTCGGTGAGTATTTAACACTTTAAGTGCAACCGCAAATCTTCAATAAAATTCTTGTCATTAAAAAAAAATTTAAAAATAAAGGCATTTCCTTTCTTGTTTATTATTACGATCGGGAACAAAAAAATCATTGAAGTCACAAGACTATTGACAATATGTAGAAACATTAATCGATTTCAATTAATATACATATAAAGACCATTTATCTTTAATAGCATCAGATTAATAACAGAAATAAATTGTTTTTTTTTATCAAAGAAATTCATAGAAATTGAGACAATATTTGTGCAGCGAATAGCGAATGTAAAACTCTCACCAAAACTTAATATCGTTTTAATCTTTTGCAGTGGTATACACGTACATGTGGCTGGTAGTGTACAGCTATTTCCAGCAACTGAGGATCGAGAAGATGAACAAAAGAATGGGTCCTTATGGAAAACCATACAATTACCGGCGAGCATGAGGGCAAGATTGAATGTGTATAGATACGATTGCAGGGGCCTGTCTGCGAAAGCGATCGTGGAGAACGGCGTGGCGACCGCAGCAACCGCTACCGCTCGTATAAACATTTATAAACTCGTGTCGACTCACAACACGTTGTTACAATCGGTTACAAGTTGCGGTGGTTCATATGCCGTTTTCGCCGTATCTCTGATTCGCCGAATGACATATAGGACTAAAACCGATTTTTCTTGCAGTCATTATTTATCCGATTAACGACGCGGGAATATCTTCTTGTTAACTGTAAATCTGTGTAAACAGTGTCATAAAGATATTTCTGTCACAGTTTTTATTTGCACCAAAGCACGATATATTGCGATTTACATGACCGGATGTTTTACAGGAGCGTCCTGTAATCCGCGTAAAGTAAGCGTAAACTTAGGACATTTGTACATAACATCGTATTTATTATAACTATTATTAATTATTTTGCCTAACAAATAAATACTCCCGTAATTTTTTAAAGAGTTCTGCTTTCGAGCGACTAGAGCGTCAAATATTCCAAGTGCAATTTATTAATCAGTGGTTAGTAATGAATCAGAAAACGTGCTTTTTATACGCTATTAATTAAATACCAAATAGCATTAACATAGACATAGATTAAGATAAATTTTCAACAAAGAAAAATACTGCCCTTGTCGAAACATAACAGCAATAATAATTAAGATAGAATTTAGAGTCAAAAATTTAACTTGTCTTTATTTAATTTTTTTAATTTGTTAAGAGAAAGCAGCGAAAGTACCAGGCATAAAGTACGTTTTGCGCGTAATACCATTATAAAACGTGAATCTCTATATTTTAATTGTTTACTTTAATTTTTTTTCCTGCTATATAACGTGTGCCATTGTATCTTTTCCAACCTAAATTTTAATTATATTATAATTTTAATTTTAATTGTAATTATTTATACTATTTAATTATTTTAATTTTCAACGTGTTAATGTTACGAATAAATCAATTTTTTTCTAAGCCATCTATTGCAATTCTGGAAATTATGATATCTTTTTAAATAAATCCTTTTACAAAATATATCCATTACACATAAATATATTTTAGTTTCACAACAGTAACACAATCCTTTTAAAACATATTTTACGAAATACGTACATATATATACAATTATTTTTTTAAATTTTACTGCATGCGTATTGCGTATCAATATATAAGTCAATCATCTAGCTAAATCAAAAGATGTTCTTGTTGTAAAAAATTGTAAAATTATAACGAGAAAAATTTTAACAAAGAAAATCGGATCTGCAATTTAACAAAAAGAAATATAAGTGTTATATAAAAAAGAAACGGTTTACAAACTAGAAAAATTTAAGGCTGACTGAGAGCATTTTCTATATTTTCCCGAATAAATACGGCGAGACTCGCAGCGGCAACACTTGTCGTATGATTGTCGCATCCAAAGTCAGTTTTCGATGACGATCGCCGAGTGATTTTGTGTTCGTTAGAATATCTGAAACATTCAACATAACGTTTACAATATTTTTTTTGCACAATGTTCAATGAATGCATGTAGAATCTCTAATATTAATACATTAAATATACAGATAATGCATTCTAGGCTGAAGTTGACATATTTATGTATTATTGTAATAGTACATCTTGTGTTAATTGTGACATAATACAATATTATAACTGCATAATTAGAATATATTTTTATGCATAAAAATATATTCGTAACGCATGAACAATTACCCGGATACGCCAAAGCAACCGCTCGAGTGAGGCCAGCTTAATATTACATCTTCAAAGTGTTTATCGACGAATTCGTAGTAACCTTCCATGCCACATAAAACGACTGAAAAGATAAAGAAAGGCACGCAATATTTATCACATTTTATTTTATATATGTATACACTTTCTATATACTTTTTATATTTAACCCTTCAGCTGCGAAAGGCGTGTATATATACACAATCGTCAAATCTATATTATATGCGATCATGCCTCGCGCATGATCGATTTTCTTTCGAAACGCGAGCCGTAGTTAAAGGATTCAATACGTAAAGTATTTTTATCGTCCGCACTTTGTTCCATCATGAGATCCTGCGCAATTTTTGGGAAGTTCCACGCTTCGAGATTGACGAGATCCTGAAGGATTCTGGCACAATACGCGGGTACCAAAGAGAAGAGCGATGCCGTTTTGACTTCCCCGCATCCCATCTAAAACCGGTTATTTTTTTATTAATTAAACTTACACAGAGATAAGCGGAAAAATGCCAAAGAAAAACCTTCCTCTCTCGCTTTTGTGAACGTAATACGCGCGTGTAATATAATAAGTAAAACGATATGGCAGTTAGGAGTTTTCTAATTATATCTTACTGCTTTAGCGACTTGAACGATGAGCAGTCTATGCGTAAGAGGATATCCGGTAGTATCATCTTCCTTCGTCAATGTTGCGACGCAAGTGGCAGGAATCTCGCATTCCTCTTTTAAACTGCTACGCATAATTTTGACTAAACATTGATCGCTTTCCGTTTCATTAGGCATTCCATGCCACATCGATCGAACGACTTCCCAATAGCTTAATAACTGACTGGAACTGGATCTCGATCTCGAAAGGACCCTCGTCCACGATACAGGCTTTATCCACAGATTGGGATTGTTTAAAGTCGTTAGCACTGTAAAACTTTGCATCTCACGAAACTTGACCGATAATGTGACATCCGGTAGCATGTTAATTAATAACTGAGAAAGTTTTCCAACAATATGCGTTTAAATACGAAAAAAAACGCGAGTTTTAATTAATCCAAATTTTGAAAAATTATTATTTTGTTGATTAAAATAAATATAACATATTGCATTTACATTGTTAAGTGAGAAATTATAACATAAATATAGTAATATAACTAATGTTCGTAAAATTTCTAATTTTCCTTAGTGCGGTTGAAGAAGATAATATTTTTTAGCACTTAAAATCAATTTCTTTTTTTTTTCTTAGAAAAGTTTTTTTACATTTTTCTACAATTATTTGCACTTTTTATCTCTCTCATAAGTTCCTGAGTTTGCGTCATTTAAAATACGAAAAACGTGTACAGTAAAGAAAGTGAAATACAACCAAGAAGGACAAATACTTAATTTATTATATATCTATGGTACTTGCTTAAAGATCTAGTTTCGTTCTTCGCAATAGTCGTCATCAAATTTCTTCGAGTCAAATCGGACAGTGCGACCATTTCCTTGAGAGCGACGAAAAATTTATCTTCCAGATGTTGCACGTTTTCGTGCAGGAGCGCCGCCACCAAATTAGCTTTTAATGAAGAAAGACAGATTGATCACCAAATTTAAAATTATATTACAAATGTGTGTTTGTGTTTTTATATATCCATTTTGAAATTCTTGGCTCCTAATTAAGGCTTCAAATTTTAGAAATCTTAATTTGTTAAATTTAATTCTTGCTGAAAATATGCGATTATTTATCGCCATTTTATTGTTCAGTAATTCTAATTGGCGATTATAATGATTTTTTTTGTACCGATGACTTGATGACAGTAGAATCGAAAGTTCACGTCACCTTTGTCTACTCTAGGACAATAAACTATAGCCATTTTAACTTAGACTTCCTTTTTTTGCTTGTATTTAGGCCCTTTGGGCTCTTTTTTAATTATTTTACACATAATGAGCATTTCGTATTTATTTATTATATGATTCTTTACCTTCGGTTAAGGTAACACCAAAAGCAGCGTCCAGATTCATCTGCCCTGGTCTGTCGTTCATGTAGTCGAGAACCTTTTGCAGGGCAACTAGTTTTTGCTCTAGAACGCGATCGATATTTTATCATTCTAACTGATACATTTCGAGACAAGTTCTTTCAAATGTTTAAGAGTGTTCGACAAGAAAATTGCATTAATCGAGACAAGAGAAACGTGTCCAACATACGTTTCGATCTTCTTGAAGTATCGCGGAATAATATATTTTTAATTCAATAAAAGAATTTTTTCAAGTTTACTTAAAACCGTTCTCCTGGAATTCGCTTTCCACACGCATTTATTATTCTGTTTACTGGCGTTATTAATTCACTCACGGAAACTTTCGGGATCGAATGCCGCTTCGGTTCGCGACGAGAAGCAGGCGAACAGAAGAAGGATCCCGAGGACACTGGTAAATCCTGGAACTCTAGTTTCCATCGGCACGGCCGTGTAAAGAAAAACCGACGAACTTCATTTGCACGCCGTCTATATAAGCCGAACCCCCACCGTGAGCCGATCGAGCATCGACTAAAGTACTAAACTAAACGTCAGCTAAATTTATCGTCAATTGCTTCTTCGATGAAGAAAAAGCGCGATGCTCCCGAAGCGAATCGGTAAATGCCCGAAGCACGTGGTAGCACTTTTTCTTCATAAAGCGGACGTGTCCCGATAGGAAAAGTGTTCTCCACGGGACCACGCTGGATTATCGCGGCTTACCGACCACATAGAGATTCGCTCTCTATTTTCAGCGGCGCTTGTATTTCGATGGAATTGAAAAAGAGTTATTTATCTGCCCCATGCACGGTAGCTTGTAATTAAAGAATACATCATTCTTTTAAAGGTCCTGGAATAATAAGGTTTCTTGAGTAATAAAATCCCGAATTCTAATTTATTATATGTCTAATTTATGACGCTCGATTTCTCTGGATTAAATTTCTTCTTCTCACATGCTTTTGAACGTTAGAAAAACTTGTTAAATATAGAATTTTGTATTAAATAAATGTACGGAAAAAAAAACAATTTAATTGGAGCAATTCTCAAAGTTAAAGTTAAGATAAGTGGCAAAAAAATTTCTGCCCGCTTTTCTTTAATAGATATTTCAATCTCAATGCTATACATTAAGTATATCATGTTATAATCATGTTTAAGTAATCTATTTTTTTTTTCTTGAAGCGATACTTTTCAAGAAGACAATTAAGTATTTAAAATGCATTTTCAAATTCTCGGCCAACAATCAAAAATATATTTTTAAAATATCAAGCATCATAAAAATATGTACGTTTCCACAAAAATAAATTTAGATCTTTTTGAAAAGATTTACAACTTAATCTTCTGCTTTATTATCGGATATAATAAATAAATAAAGGTACGTGTCTTACTTAAGAAAAATGAGTAGGAAAAAAACCCGTAATGCATATCTAAAAAATAAATGATCTCCTGTTTATTTATTCATAACACAACTGTCATATATCATATAAGCAATTTACAATACGCTAGAATTAATTACAAAATCAGCCCCTTTTATGCATATGCCTTATATTCAGTTTTTCAGTTAAAACTATCTTATATTCATATCATTTTTCTGACATGACTTATCTTACATCTTTGCATGCAACAAGTAAACGTCGTAAACTTTCTGTTATATTTATTTCTTATTTTCTTATAATAATCACGAAGTTTATAAATAGAATAAATAGTCGTAGCAATAAAAACAGTCGTAAGTGTTTCCTTTCATGCAATTTCGTATATTTCCTAAACTTCTATTAACTCTGCTACTTGTATTCATTTTTTTTTTACGGTTAAATAAAAATCTCAATTTTACTTCTCAGAGATTTTTCTGAAATTCAATTTTCTCATACCTATTTTTTTGTTACAAACTTCTGTAATAAAATTCCATTAAATTATGCTTATCAGTTTAATTTAGACAATGTACTCGTATAATTTATGATATAAATATGTTATAAGACACATTAAGATAGAATAATACATTAGACTATATTATATAAGATAAATAGCATTATAAAAATTTTAAATTAATTGTATATGTCAAATGCATATGTCAGAGGAGAGGAGAGTCTGGCAAGTCCAAGTGCCAATAGTCAACAAGTACTAAGCACAAAGTTGCAACGGCGAGTTGAAATTGTTTAAAACGTATGAAAAAACGTATTACTACCGATCAACCGTTAACGCTACTTTCCAAGCGCTCCAGTCCAATACAGGTCGCGTTTCTGCTTTCGCGTTTCGAAGTAGAAACTATCTCATGTATACGTATTATATTATTTATCCGATCTTGTGTATTTCAGATCACAGGTCATCGTGTTGGTCCGCGTTGTCCCCGAATTCGATCTCCAGCTGCAGCCTGTAGTCCATGGCGACGAAGACGATTACCAGGAGCACGGGCAAGCGGAATCTCGACTGCCAGCCGAGTTTCAGTATGAACATCAAGGAGCGATGAAGGGTGCCGCTGTTTCCCAGGAAAATGTCAGTAGGCATCCTTCGCATCCTTCGATCGGACCTTGGGGACGTGATCGGGTCACGGTGCTCCGCTGTGGGTACACTTCAGCACACGTTCCTGGATCCCCACTAGACGGCGAGTGACGGAACTCCTCGGTCATCCGGGATTCGGTCCATGTTCCTCGAGGCAATCGGATGGTCTACTTCTTGACGAGCGGCTCGTCGTGATGGTGACAGTCAACGCTCCACATCGCCGTATCTATTAAATTAAAATCTCCATCAACACCCTCTCTCTTTCTTTCTCTCTCTCTTTCTCCCTGAAACGTCAAATCGCGCAACAGAAGCGGATTTGTACGATGTTAATCATTGTGACGATACTTACTGCACTTATCGTCCACCGTCTTTGACATCCACTTTTGACAGTTCTCCGAGGCTTAACCCTTCGCCCATACGCACACAAGTCGAGGTGCACGTGTGTGAGCACGTAATCCCGTTGTTCGTCAGAGCAGAACCGATTAGGATGAAGGTTAAGGATTGGCCGAATTATAATTATTCTAATCTTCGGTCGTCCGCAATTTCCAATGACTCCAGTGCGTAGTGTGATATGGATCAGAGAGGATCTTTTTGATACGGATACGGATTTAACATCTGTAGTGACACTACCGCCAGTACATCCATTTTCGAAATTGGTACTACGTAGCCATGTTCATTTTCCGACACTGCCGATAAAACATCGTTCTGGTGCGCATCCGCGCTACATCTGCAAATGCAATAGTGTTATAAATATATGTATGTATATTATATAATACCACTTAATACATATAATATTAAGTTATACATATAATAATTATTATTAAATTACTCCTTTCCTTCTAACTATTATTTTCTAATCAAACGGCGAAATAAAGAGGCTCAAGAATAAACAAAAAAAATACTCTTACACAAAATAAAAAATAATATTTACCGCATCAAAGTTGTTCCATTTTTGCGTCTGATGCCTCTCCCAAGCCTCCTCCTTCTCTCAGACTCGCGTTGAATCAATGTAATGCTTTCCGCTTTCCTTATTTTCTGAAACATTTAAATAAGCGATTCGATTAGAAAAAAATAAGCGAAGTTTTCATATATAACATAATATATAAGAATCAATTATATATGCTAATTCATTCCGCAAAACATTAGCCGTTATGATTTAATGTTCGTTCGATATCTGATGTTCATCTCTGTAGTTTGCTAAGACTTGCCATTCAATTATTCTATTTGGACAAATATAACAAATATATAATTCTCTGACCAATTTTTATCGCGTTTCAAACATTGCGATGTTTGCCCCGTCAATAAAAATAACGAAAGATAAACATTCGCGCATTCGGCGGAACATATGCTAATAACGGCGATCAAATCGAAGATGTTTCCGCACAGCGCCGTTTACCGTCGAGATTCGCCGCGGATATGATGTCTTGTAGTTTAGTTTGAACTATTGTTTATTTTAAAAATATGAACTTCTAGCGCCAACTTATTTCCGGTATCGTTTACAATTGTTAATTAATTTTTATTAAAATAGAGAGTAGTTTTCCAAATAATAAAATATATTTCGACACTTTTATCCAAATGATTCTAGAGCGATTGGATAAGAAAAAAAATTTAGGCTTATTTGATTTTAATTAATTTTCAATTATTGTATAGTTTTCCAAACTCTATAAAAAGCTTCTTTCAAATTTCTCCAAATGATTTCCAAACGATTGGAAAAGATAATTATAAATAATTTTTAATTAGTTTGCCAAGTATACGTCGGTCCGGGTGTCGCTGCGGCGTGCGTTGAACCGTGAGCCCGGAGCCGGAGGCCGGAGCCGGAGGTGAGGCGTGGTATCGTTTCGCGGCGGCTTGGCGTTTGGTTAGCCGCGACCGTCGTCGGCCGCGGGTGTGTTTTGTCGGGACAAGGGCGATCGGTGTGACCGGAATCATGCTCGGACGTCTCCCCGCGTGCGTCATCGACGTGGGCACAGGGTAAGCGCAATCCCCCCGGGACAATGGAACGCTATGAATTTCGAGGAAGGGCGGGCTCGGTTTTTTTAGGTTAGGTACTCGATCTGTCATCGGATGACACGCACTTCGGCCAGACCCACTGCGAACCGCGTCCCCTTCACCCCTCGCAGTGATTCACCAGTATCCTTACGTTGATAAAAGAACCCTTTCGTCTCGCGGCAAATCTTATCGACGTGCGTAAAAATATTCGCCGCCCACGCGCAATCTCGACACGCTCGACAGCTCGTGGTTATCTATCTAATCGTGGCGTTATCTTGCAGGTACACGAAACTGGGATTCGCGGGCAATAAGGAGCCCCAGCTGACCATACCGTCAGCGATCGCTATCAAGGAGACGGCTAAGGTCGGCGATAATAATGCGAGGAGAATTACGAAGGGCGTGGAGGACCTGGATGCCTACATCGGGGATGAGGCTTTTGAGGCCACTGGATATTCGATCAAAGTACTTACACGCAAGCACGCTTGCTCGAAGCGAGACTCATTTCTCTCTTTTTTTCCCGACGACATGTACTTATCGGATGCATTTTGTTTTCTTAACTCGCAGTATCCAGTGAGGCATGGACTGGTGGAAGATTGGGACTTGATGGAGAAGTTTTTACAACAATGCATTTTCAAATACCTCAGGTCGGAGCCTGAGGATCATTATTTCCTCTTGACCGAGCCACCTTTGAACACCCCGGAAAATCGTGAATACACCGCGGAAATTATGTTCGAGTCGTTTAACGTGCCGGGACTTTACATAGCTGTGCAAGCCGTCCTCGCCTTAGCAGCCTCGTGGACAGCTAAGAACGTGGAGGACCGCACTTTAACGGGCGTCGTTGTCGATAGCGGAGATGGTGTAACTCACGTGATTCCAGTGGTGCGTTCAGAAATCGTTTTTTCCGTCAGATATCGTTTTAAAGTCACGCTTTTTTGTATCTATTAATAGTTCTTGTGCTTTTGCAGGCAGAAGGTTTTGTCATAGGAAGTTGTATAAAGCACATTCCTATCGCTGGTCGCGATATTACCTATTTCATACAAAGTCTGCTGAGGGAACGGGAGATTGGGATACCGCCTGAGCAATCGTTAGAAACAGCCAAGTCAATCAAAGAGAAATACTGTTACATATGTCCGGATATATCGAAGGAATTTGCCAAATACGATAGCGATCCTACGAAAATTAAGAAATACGAAGGTATTAACAGTATCACCAAGCAACCTTTTGTGGTGGATGTCGGATACGAAAGGTTTCTGGGACCGGAAATATTCTTCCATCCCGAAGTGAGTAATTATCCGCGCATGTAACTGCTAATTTATATAATTAACTTCTACATGTTTTCTGTATATCTAAATACTTCACAGTTTTCCAATCCGGACTTTACAACGCCGCTCAATGAAATTGTTGACGACGTAATTCAAAACTGCCCAATCGACGTCAGGAGACCATTGTACAGTAATATCGTATTATCGGGTGGCTCCACCATGTTTAAAGACTTCGGTAGACGATTACAACGCGACATCAAGAAAATCGTCGACACGCGGCTCAAGCTCAGCGAAACGCTAAGCGGTAGCCACATTACGGTAGGTATCGCGATAATTTGCAATTTGCTTACGAGCGGTAATAACGCTTTGTATTCAGTTATTATAATTCGGTTTTTTATATTCCAGCCAAAACCAATAGACGTCCGCGTGATATCGCATCACAAGCAACGTTGCGCGGTGTGGTATGGTGGCGCATTACTAGCCAGTGATCCAGAATTCTACACGGTTTGCCACACGAAGAAGGCATACCAAGAGTACGGTCCTGGAATTTGTCGTTATAATCCCGTATTTCACAGTATGGTTTAAGAAATAAATGGGACGAGCACAACGATCGGAAATCACTTCTCTAAGAGTATTATTGTCATTTATAAATGTAAGGACTCAGATAATTTACTCCGTTTTTTCTAACATGGTGCTAAACGCAATTAAAAGTAATTCAAAGATTTCGACTTGTTTGTACACTTGATTTTTTTCACTTTTTACAGAATCATGTTGGTATGTTTGAGTACATGATTTGAATTCATGATTAGATTATGAAAATTAATGTATGTTTATATATTCCTGTTCTCTTAAGATTTAATCAATCGCCGTTCATGCTGTGTATGAGAGGTGCACTTCCATAGAACTTACTATGTATAGTATTTACTGCAGTATAGATATATATTTACAAGTTTAAAAAAATGCATATATATAATAACAGATTTATGAGATGATGTTACAATAATTATCTGTGGTTTATGTAGTGATGCACAATAATGCAACGCTACATGATATATTCAGAAGCATTTTTACATTGAGCAGAAATTCTAACAAAATTGCACTTTTATACATGAAATTTCTTTGTACACGAAATCTAACGAATCGGAAACTATCTTGGATATTGAACTATCGATGTACAAACTACTTTTTTGCATTTTTACATGTACTATTTAAAATGACGTATGTGTGTTATTTAAAATTGCACAATTTATGTAGATTTCTTCTTTTAGTGTTGTAAAGTTCCATACAATTAGGGGAAGTCGTTATTATGCGTGGTCATCGTTCTCCTCGCTAAACAAAACAAAAATTACAATCATTAAATTAATATCACCTGATGTTTTCAATTGCGCATATATAATTTATATGTAATTTAGGAGTATGAAAATTTAATTTGCAATAGCCCGTATTATAATTAACAACTTATTTTGAATAATTTAATTATGAATGATGGATAACACTACAAGAGAATAATCGAGATATTGCATTCCTATTCTTCCATTTTTTTACTTTTTATTTTTTACGTATGTACTTACAATAGATTCAAATCATTTAAAGCAGCAGTTGCGCCATTGATGTCCGTGAAAAGTGAAGAGAAAAAGAGGGAAAAGAAATTTGAACTGCTTTCGACTGGTCTATCGTTTGGCGTAGGTCTTTTATAAATATCGATGCTGTCTAATGGCGGCAATGGATCGTGTGACAGCATTGGGTCCTCGCCCTGAATCTGGAACAAGCAATATATAAGTTTAATAAAAGTTGTATTGATACATATACTTCTTAACCCCATTCGTAGAGTACGAGACATTACCTCCTGACCGTTAACTACAACTTCTTGCAAGTCTGATAATATAATGTGTCTCAAAATGTTTCTTGGCAGCTTTCCCCGATAGCGCTTGCTACGCTTTACTTGACAGTACTTGATATAATCATCTTTAGACTCAATTCGACCTAACACAGCGTGCACATTTTCCTCCAACCACGGTAAAATGTCTGCTTCCTTCCAGAGATGGAAGCTGCGCACTACATACAATTTTTGCAGCTTCTCTAGAGCCGGTGATGTGCTAGCTTGTGCTTTAGAGTTGAAGAATTCGTGGGACATTACCTAAGAAATGAAATATTTTATTGAGCGTAAGAGTAACATTTCTTCCAAGCACTCATCGTGCTCTGAAATAATAGATTTTCAGGAAATGGTGTATCTATAAGAAAGATTTTTTTTTTTTTTTAAATCTGCAATACCTTCGAATCTGTTTGTATGCTACATTTCTCCAATAAGAGCATCAATACACGCGGAAACATGATAAGAGCGTTTTGCAGAAGCGTATCGGCATCGGTTTTATTTCCTAGACGAAAGTGAGCCAAGGCCAGGCTATATGCTATGTTCGGTAGTTGAGTTAAATTTCTGGAGTCTTCCCACAGATTACAAAACTTTATGAACCATTCATATTCTTTGGCTTTTAAGGCGTAGAAGTCGATGGACAGGACCACTGCTAGTGGATCACCCTCAGGATCCAATGACAGAAGTAATTTACAAAATTCCAAGCTTGTTCTGAAATTTTTCATAGAAATTAATGTAAAGTCTCATTTTGCTCGCTCTAATATTCTTTTTACGGGTATTTACCTATAACAAGCACGTCCACCGACAAACCCAAGATGTTTAAAAAGCGTTATAAAAAGTGCACGATTCTGTTGCTTTCTGTAGTCCAACCTACACTGCGCGGTTGTTATATTGAAGAATGGATGAAACGCACATTCTAAGCAGTACAGAGCCCGTTTGATAAATTCTGCTGCATAGGCTAAGTCGTCGTTTATTTTACACATTTCAGATACCTGCAGGAGGGAGTCTATATGGTAAGAATGGGCATTTACTATATTCTGAAACATAATAACTTGTATTAACATTTATATACCACATGGATATAAGTAAAAAAGAATTTTTGTTACTAGTACATAAACTTATATTATGACAAAACAATTAAAGATTCCATGCCAGAATTGCAAAGCACAAAATCTAATATTACTATCCGATCTCTCGTTCTTTACTCACAATTATGTTCTCTGGATTCAGACTTTCAACGGCTTGCAAGAATTTATGCTGTATCTCTTTGTACGAGGCGCTATGTTCATATACAAAGTACTGTACATTCTCCGTAGTCTGCATAGAGTTATCTAAAGACATGGATAATCCAGATTTTCTAGTCGGTACCCAGGTATTATCTTGCGGGCAAATCAACCATGTCTTCTTTAAATTCCCACGGCCTTTATTGTTGCTTCTCCTGCTGCAAGAATAGAGTACTTCTTGCTCAACAAAAACTTGTAAATTACGACATACGTTATCCATATATCAAGTATAAATGTAATTGTACCTTTGTGTAGCCTCTATAGTTTTACTACCAAAGATCCTCTTCAATTCGTTATATGGATTCAAGTGTTTGCGTTGTACGGTCAATATGTTTTCCTTGGATACTCCATTAACCCATTGCGCTTCCAAAACTTCATTACTGCAACCCGGCAGCGGCTCGCCGAGCAATTTGTTCACCTCCCTTACGCTTCGTTCAATCTCGTCTATGTTTTCATTACACTCCGCGTCGTGCTCTTGCTGGTGGCTCTTGACTCTCTCGTTCTCCAACTTCTTATGCTTTTTCTTCCTCTTTCTACGCTTCGTATCGTTGTAATCTGCATTGTTTACAACCAGGTCCTCATCCTCGTTCTCCTGCCTGTCATCAGTATCCTCATCCCTATCGGAGTTCTGATTCAACTGTGGGCACACATCTTATCGTCAACATCGCCGTCATCCAGATGGGAATAAAATGACAACGTTTACAAATTCTACATACCACGTCGAATACATTGAAAGACTTGGATTTGGCGTTGCTGGTCACCGGGACTTCCGCGTCACTCGCATTGTCGTTATCCTTCTCGAGGGTCCAGCCGTCGCTGCCGTAAAGTTTTTTCATGTATCGCGTAGACATTTTAGATATGTATATATCTATATATCTATCTGGAATGTATTTTTTTCAAGAGTGGGAGATTGCCAGCTGTCTCTCGTCGCGAGAATGCCTGCGATTCCAAGCCTCGTAAACCTCGAATATTCACCAGCTCTCCGGCAATCTGTAAAATTTATTACCCAGCTTCGTCGAAATCAATACAACATTCTGGCACACATTTTCTACATCCGATTGCGAATTAGCGCACTGACACACACACGATGCGGTTCTACCTTCTAACTGCAGACGGACGATCACCTCGAGAGTGGGAACTGGGAAGAGTATCTGGAATGCTCTGGAAGAGGGCTTCGTTCAGTTTTCGATCAAAATACAGGAAATTTGGAGGTCACGAGAGACCGTCGGTAACCGAGTCGAACGTCAAAGCTGGCGAACGGTGAGGAGTTTAGCGGAAGGTTAACGACGAGCGAGTCCAAGCGAGTCGACGAGAAGAGACAAACCCCTCTCTCCTTCTCTATCTCTCTCTCTCTCCCTCTTTCTGGCCTCTCTCCCTCTTTCGACACGTCACGCAGTTTATCGGGTTTATCCTTGTCGGCGTCGGTCGTCAGAACGGTGAAAACGCGCGAGAGAACGCGAGGACGAGTCTGCGCTGCGCAGCCCCTAGGTCGGCCTAGGTAATTCGCGATTCGCGTTCACCGCCCACGTGTGAGCCTTCTGGTGTGTACATGTCAAGCCGGATGCGTGCACCTGCTTACGTGTACGAGTCGGGGAATGCGCGCGGGGCACGATAATCGCAATCTGACGTCGCAGACGCACGAAGGAGTGACCCGCGATCCCGTTTCACGCGAGACTCGATCAAGCATGACCGTCAAACTGAAGCTGAAAGACGTGAAGGACAAGCTGAAGGAGGACACCCTGGACCTCAGCTTGTGCGACTTGGAGGAAGTGCCTGTGCGAGAAATCGTGAGTCCTCTTTAGTTTGCTCTTTAGTTTGCTTTTTTTTTTCAGAACCGAACGGAATGCATATGGGAATCTGCTAACTGTACTTGTTGTGTTGAACATTAAAATATCTTTTACATGATTTTTCTGACGCAGACAGTCGAGGGACAAGCATTATTTAACTTAATAGCGCTATTTAACTTAACAATACTTTTTAAGGAGAGAAATAGGAGTAATTTGCGGTGTAACATTCCTTACAAATTATTTTATGTTTCAGGCATCTCTTAGGAAAGCAACAAATGTCAATTTATCAACCAATCTTCTGGTGTCTCTGCCGGTACGTTAGTCCTTATATTCAGTGAGGATTTTTATGTAATTTAAATATTCAAATTAAACACTCTCGTGCTATTGTAAACATTGAAGGAATGAACCATCTTTTGCAGGCCACTTTTGTTACCTTAAAACAAATTGTGAAATTGGACCTCAGCAGGAACATGTTGGTCGAACTTCCCGAAAATTTCGGCGAGATGACTCAGTTGAAACATTTGGATTTATACGCCAACAAGGTAAAACAGCCTTCTTTATTTTTTATACCCTTTGACAAAATTTGCATTTTTAATTTGCGTCGTTTACAGATCAGCAGATTACCTCTGAGTCTAAGCGAATTGAAAAATCTAAGGTGGTTGGATCTGAAGGAAAACCCCTTGACCGAGGCCGTGGCCAGTGTTGCGGGACCATGCAGCAATATGCGCGAGTGTCAGGCGTGCGCTCGTAATATCGTCAGCTATCTGTCCAACGTTAAGCTCGCCATCGAGGAGGAGAGATTACGTAGATTAAATAATGCTACAGGTGTGTATGTGTGCCACTCACTATGCGTAGCAGTCACTCAAGTCGCGCATAACGTTAACTGCGTAATTTCAGGCGACACGGACAAGGAGGTGACGAGCACGAAGAAGGAGGGCAAGAGGAAGAGGAAGAGAAACGCAGAGAGGGAGAAGACGAACGGAGATAAAATCGATTCTCCGATGCAGAGCGACGGACGTTCGCAGGACAATAGCAATAGCGTGAGATTAACGGGATCGTCGTCGTCGTCCAACGCCGCATCCGCGCGTAAATCGTACAGCTCGACAGGTAAACTGATGAACATTCGTTCCCAGCAAACATTAACTAACAGTAACATTGCGTTATTATTTCCCACTCAACAACGTAAGTGCAATATAATACAATATAAAACACATGCAATATAATATACATGTGTTACAATGTTAAGTAGGAAATAATAACATTGACGCGATGTTACTGTTGGTTGGTGTTTGCTGGAATCTTGACCTTTAATTCGCGAGGTTTACGTTTACTTTAATATCACGTATGGGTTTCATGACTGTTCCAGGCACTGGGCTGTGCCGATCGCTCACGTGCGTGATCGTGTGGCTCTTCGTGATCAGCTCGTTGCTCACCGTCGCGCTGACAATACTCTCGTGGCGTTACGAGCAACAGACGGACACGTTTCTGCAAAGTGCACAAACGTTATCGGGCCTGCCGTTGAAGAGTTATCATCGACAAACCACCGATTATTTGCAGCGTGTAATAAAGATCGCGACCGTGCAGATCAAGTCGATTGTCGATGCTGCGAACGATTTCTACAGGACACAATTCGAGAGTGGCACGAGCAAGGCGGCGAAAGAGCTGTAAAACTTTGGTTGCGTTAATTATGGATATCAGGGCACGTATTATGAAACTGTTCGAAATAGATTCCGATTGGAATTATTTCGATTTCGATCCTAGAAAACAATAGAAAGCTAGGAAATGATTAAACAACGAACAGAATCCATTCCGAAAAGTTCCGTAATACAATAAGAAAGGTATTTGAAAATAACTGAAATAACTGAAATATATAATGCATTTTGAGATTTTGTTGTATCATAAAAGAGCTTATTTTCATCGAAAAATAAACAAAGAGATATTCCGAATAAACATGGTTACTTACCTTTCAACGTTTCGTCCTTTAGGTTCTTAAGAAAAAAAAAAATAAATAAATGTTTAAATCGGACCCAGTTTTTACGGTATTCGAATGTGCCGCGCATATGTATGTATGTAATGCGACGACGCCTGACTTCAAGTGACCGGGAGGAAAGTCCCTAGAGCCACTTCCTTCCCTCCCGGAAGTTACGCGCGCGGGAGAGACGGAAACGCTGCGCGCGGTAGAAAATGGCAGAAAAGGACGCCGTAGCCAATCAACCTTACGTTTTTACGGAGAAGTGAATTGATTGGCCGCCGCGTTAATAACAGACAATTCGTGGATCGCCCGCACACGACGCACCACGCAGCCTGAGCCGAGGGACTCCGTTTTTCAACGGCGTAAAAACAACGGCGGGGAAACAGGTTAAAACGTTCAATCTGCTTCGCGCGCGAATAATACCGAGGATGGAGAACAGCGGCGAGAGCGGAGACGACGGTCCTCTCGGGCCGACGTTCCTGGGTGGCAGCGCCGTTGCGACGTCCTACATCGGCGTGCAGTCGGACGACATGGAAGGTAGGTTAGCGTTCCCTCGGGAGCTAACGTTGAGAAACGATAAAACAGCCCCGAATTTCATCCGCATCCTTGTATTTTTCTTTTTTTTTTTTTAATCAAAAATAGAATAGGCTGGTTCTCGGAGCGGGGGAGGAAGATACAGGCGTGTAGCTCCTCGGACTGTAGATAGACTGTTTACATCTCACAGTTTGCCACTGTTTACAGGTTTCTTGACCTTCAGTTTCCTTCTGTTTTCTCTTATCGCTGAACAACGAACGATTTTTATCCGTCGATTGCCTCGAAGAAGTGGAGCGTGTTGAATTTCTGCCGAGAGAGCACGTGCCTGCGTTCTTGAACCCTCGCGTAAATTGTATTAGGGCTGGTTGTTCCAGCCTGTTGCTAAATTACCTGGCATGTGATTTAACTATCAGGTAGCTTATCAATAGGTTGGAACAACCGGCTCTTATCGAGATATAGGACTGGTAGGTAAGCTACCTGATAGTTAAATCCCATGTTTATCTTTGTCCAATGTAGGGCCGGTTGTTCCAACCTGTTGGTAATCTAACTAATAGTTAAATCATATGTCTATCTTTGTTTAATGTAAAGGATAAACAGAGACATACATATGATTTAACTATTAGTTAGTTTACCAAAAGGTTGGAACAGCCGACCCTTAAAGGATAAACAAAGACATACATATGATTTAACTATTAGGTAGTTTAGCAACAGGCTGAAACAACCAGCCCATAAAGATGTAGGGACGTATCAACTCCATGTTTTTTTACGAAAAGATTGATACTTGTATTTAGACGGTATATTTACATTGTAAGTAAATGTATATTTACATGGTATTCCCTTGTAAGTCGTCGTGGACCAGATTACAAGTCAAATCCCTTGGGTAGTAAGACAATGTATAAATCTTAACAAACTGATTTTTTTTTCTTTTTTTAACAGACGATCCCGAAAACACAGATGACTCGAATCACGGCACGGGCGATCCATTGCAGAGCCCCGGGGTTTCCACCGGCGGCGGGCCGCTACGCGAGCAGGATCGCTTCCTGCCGATAGCGAACGTCGCCAAGATCATGAAGAGGGCCATCCCGGAGTCTGGAAAGATAGCCAAGGACGCGCGCGAGTGTGTTCAAGAGTGCGTGTCCGAGTTCATCTCATTTATCACGTCGGAAGCGAGCGACAGGTGTCACATGGAGAAGCGTAAAACTATCAATGGTGAGGACATTCTGTTCGCCATGACCACGCTCGGCTTCGACAATTACGTCGAGCCGCTGAAAGTGTACCTACAGAAGTATCGCGAGGCGACGAAGGGCGACAACCCGCCCAACGCCGGGGCGGCCACTGGCAATGGAAAGGTGGAGCCGCAGAGCATGTACGAGGATCAGTTGTTCGCTATTACCGCGACGGCGGCCAGCGTGACCACTTCCGACTCCTCTGTCATCTACAGTTACTCGACGAACGAGCAGATGCAGTTTCAGCTTTCCTGATCATCGGGAGTTAAAGTGATATTGATATAAGTATTTATCGTATTTGTACGGAGACACACTGTGTGATCTGTGAATCATGGGCATCGATGACGATCGCGTATGCAGATCCAATCGCGTGGAAAAGAGGAACGGTTTTTTCGCCTAGCAATATGCGTAGCAAAGTATCTTTAAGCTTTTAACATTAAGACGATGATCATTATTAAGATTCGGCCGAGAGAACGGAGAGTGTCGGAGGGTAAAGTTGAGAAAGTAACTTTAATCTTTGTAAAGAAGCAACTTGTAAGCGTGAGCGTAAATAAACCAGGAGACTTCGCGAAACGAGAAGCCCGGTCGACGTGGTTGGGGTGGTTTTCCTTTACTTTCTCGAATGCAGCAAGGATAGAAAAAAAAACGTAGCCGATTCCTTTATTCTTCTATTGTTTAAGCTCTAAGACGCATTTAGACTACTTCTTTAGGTTCTTTGCGAGAGCTCGCGCGGTTCAGGCCGCAACGGAAACTAGGATCGTGTAATCGGGCGCGAGCCCGGCAGTAAATCGGCGTTTACGGTATATAGAATTCATTCGGTAGAAAATGTCCGTGGCGTGCGCGATCACGTTGTTCTTCACTCCGGTAATTGGGCAGGTGAGAGCAGAAGCTCGTGTCCCTTGGTCGCCGGCGACACGGAGCGGCTCGTCGGCGCGACCGGCCGTTCTCCTCGTTCCTGTTGCGTCGACGGCGGCAACAGCGAGGCGGTCGATAACGTTCCCGGTCCCGGTCGCGCGTCTGCTTTCCTCGCCTTCTCCTTGTGCGAGTCGACGTGACAGAATCGCCAGCGACCGCACTGACCGCAGTGGCACAGGCAGAGGCACAGCAACACGCGGAAAAGGCAGCACAGCAGACCGGCGCACAGTAACGACGGGCCGACCAGCCTCAGCTGCGGGCTCAGGAATCCCTTCTCCCCGGTGCCGACGAACGAGATAACTAAACCGAGCGCGGTGGTCCCCAAACCCACGTAGAGCACGGTGTTGACCGCCGCGCTGACCTCGCCCCGCTGCAGGCGAATGGCGTTACTGTCATCTTCCTCGTCGTCCTCGCCGCTGCTTCCGTAGCAGTAACTGGCGTCTCTTATCTGAAGCAAGATTGAAGCACGCGTTCCGTAAAAACACCTTCAATTTCTTGATCAAATATTATAAACTATATCCTTCTTTCCTCCTCTCCTCCTTCTCTAAACATTATGTCAGTATTTGATAAAATTACCCTGTTTCTTTTCATCCATCGCCGATGTGCTTCGCACTGCTTCGTTTGGCTTTTGCTGTAGCCATCCGCGTGATACCCGGGCGATGTAGGAGATAAGGGAAGGGGCGAAGGTCTGTTGCATCCTTGCCACGCTGCCTTGCCGCCAGGTCCCTGAACGCCGCACTGAAATACGTAACTCTCAGACATGTCGTTATGAGCAGTTGTTAAGGCCAATGAATCGCATGATCTTTCGTTAATGTGAGTACTCGACGCATCGAGTCGTTATGTTTTTTTAATCGATCATTTTTAATTTATTTGTATTTCGCAACTACTTTGTATGTACTGTACAACAAAATTCCGTGAGAATATTGTGTATCCCCATAGCAGTCTAGGTTCGCCAATAAATATGTATAAAACCTTTTATGTTTCTTTAGCTCTTTTGAAAACATGCGTCCTACGTGAAATGAATGGAATATTAAATAATAATGGAATATTATTTCGGATATGATGTGGTAAAAAAAATTTATGATCTACCTGAAGAGCGATTGATATACGTTCCTTACGTTTGCCTAAAGGTTGCTCGATCGATCTTGCCGTAATCGATCCAAAGAAATACCAATCAATGAGATACGCGTGTACGCGATCAGATAGAACTTTTTCACGGTCTTTATTCATAACGAGTTCGGTTCTAGGTGTCAGTACTCCGAGAAGAATTGCACGACGTCGCTAAATTTACGGCGTTAATTCACGCGAAGGAATCAAAATTGCTTTTTCGACGACGACCGTGAACTCTTTTGATACTTACCCCGTACACGTAAGATCGTGGGGGATATCGTGGTAGCGGCGGAATGAGTCTGGTGGCGAAATTGGAAGGTAATTCTCTAAAATTCACCGCCTTACCCCCCCCGTATACGCTGTTTCTCTCGTCTAATTAATAGAGCAGCCTGCATCCCGCTTATTCATTCGCGTATACTATCGATCGAAAGATCTCAAAACTCCCCTGATTGCCCCGGGTTTTTCCTCTTTCTTTCTTTTCTTTTTTCCTCTTAACCCTTCGCCTTTCCCCCCGATATGATGACGAAGAGACCTGCAGTCCACCTCAAAGTTCCATCAGCGATCGATACCGAACGTTGCGTTACTCGCCATCGGCATCGATCGCTGCTCGTTCTCGTCGACGATAATCGTGGAAGGCATGTTTCACGCTATACTGAAATTACATTACGAGCCTTTAGCCGACTTGCCGGGCCAGCAAGATATTCGGGCATGGAGAATCTGTCGCCTCTCTTATACGCTGCTCGACGGGCTTTATCGCGTGTTATATGCGCCACCAGACAGCCGATCGATGCTATTTGCTATATAATGTTGTACGAGGTGCCGGCAAAAGAGATGTGGTGCGATCAGGGGAAGCATATATGCGCTTTGAGTGAGGGTGAGTCGCGCTTAAGCGATAGAGAAGTGAGCTTTGTAATTCTTATTGATCTAATTTCGTCAATGATCGCACTCGGCAGAGATAACGTAATCGAATTCTCAGTCGACGAGTATCCAGACACAAAACTGGCGCGGAAACGTTAAAATGAGCTTTCCCTCATTAAACTTTATGGCGAAATGTTCTATCTAAAAATTTTATTATCTTGACTGTAATAATTAATATATAATATAACGAAGTCCAAAAATTTGAAATTTTCAAGCGGACGTTGTAATGATTTTTTAAGTAAGTATATCATAATATTTTGTTACTTGTGACAGCATCAGACAAATCGGATGCTCAACGGTCTTCTCTGCCTAATGCGCACATTGCGGGAGGGACGCATATTTATCTCGCTTTGCATGATTTCTGTGATAAATACGCGTGAACTATACGTAAGAAGATGGAAAGTGATGGTGATTTGGGCGAGAAATAGAGAAAGATGAGAGAGAGCGGCTATAAGGAACAGCGTGAACCTGGAGGAGGCTGGTTATGAGGAGAGAGTACCCGACGATGTTACCCACCTGTAGCTCCGTAGGAGGCGAGACTCGGAGATCGAGGATCGAGGGCGGCGGGAAGGGAAAATTGCTCTTGTTGGCCGGGAAGGTGGTGGTGGCGGACGCCGAGGATTCGAGGGAGAGCGGGGGCGGCGAGATCGGGAACTGGATCGGCGAGACCGGGGCGACTTGCTGAGACCTGTGATGGCGGCGCCGGTCGTCGATAACCGGATGGAACGCGGCGGACGACGACGACGTCGACGTCGGCGCCTGGTGTTGCCCTCGCGGGACTTGCGGTGCTGATGCGACTTGTTGGTGCGGACGGGCAGCGAGCTTGGTCGGGTGGTGGTGGTGGTGCTGATGATACTGATGGTGATGCTGATGCTGGTGTTGGTGCTGATGCTGATGCTGGTGCTGATGCTGGTGCTGGTGCTGATGCTGATGCTGATGCTGGTGACGCGCGCCGAGCGGTAAGCCGGTCTTCAGTCTTGGCGGAACGACGTTGACCGGCGCCTGCTTGTTGAGCTGCAGCCGCTTCTGCTTCCTCCGATTGGCGATGCTCGCACCACCCGCCGCGGCGTACATCGCTCCGCGGGTTGCCGGATCGCTTCCTCGCTTCCCGTCTCAAGGCGTACTCCGTATCCGGGGCAGCCCCCGTTCTCGGTTACGAGTTACGTCGCATGACGTCGATGATCGGTCCTTGCCATGGCGCGCGCGTGTGTCTCCCGCACCCTCGTTCGTATCCCGAGGGAGTATCACTCCCTTTTTTTTTGTCTTTCTCTCACTCTTTCCCTTGCCCCTCTGGAAAGGCAAGAAACGTGACGGAGCTCCGCCCGTCTGTGGCGCCCGTCATTACGGTCTACGTATCTAAATCACTATGCAGCAAGCACGACTATAAAAGCGATCCACCCTTACGTTGAGTCAAATTACCGCTGATTGGCGAACGCATAACGTATTATATTAACTTGACGACTCGTGTATGCAAGTGGATACAAGTTATCGCGATCGTCTTCCACGTGTATATCTAATTTTGGAAGGCGGGTAATGTTTATTCCTTCGATTCAACTGATTTCCAAAGTTCAAATCAAGCAATATACCAAATATATATTCTTCTTTTTAGCTATCGTTTATTAATGTTGTATCTTTTGCATTTAAAGCAACATAAGTACATACCTAAATGTTAGGGTAGAGAAAAAGCAAACGAAAGATTGTCGAAAACGAGTCGTGAAATTAAAGTATCATACATTACAGATATTGTGATCAATTACAATCGTTCTTACGTATAATTTTTTTAAAAGGGAAACGAAAAATTGTAGAAATCGAGTCGTAAAATTAAACTTTACACATTACGGATACAATTAATTATAATTAGTCTTACGTCACAATTTTTTAAATAATTTTAACATGTTATTTAATTAAGTCTTAAGATAAAATTAAAAAATTAGTGTATTGAATAATTCCATTGAAATCCGCCTTTCTTGATTCAAATAATATTATTAATTACATAGTATTTAACATGCAACACTTATTGCTTTGCTTAGAGTGTTATATCGGGTACTTCGGTTATGCGTTCGCTGAATATCCGGAAAGCAAATGTAAAGTTACATTTTAGTTTACATCTAATTGCATTACCACACTTACACACAGTTCTAGCACAACACTTGAAAATTCTATACATACATTATATACATAATCAAGTAATATTTAGGAACAAATTTTTCATGAAATTGCGAACATCTTTCCCAATTTCATAAATTTTCACATAATTTTGTAATAATGGAATAATATTACAACTACAAGTTTAAGTATATGTGTATATAACAGAATAATTATGTAATATTTTCTTTAATTGTAAATTATTTTACAAATTAAAATATTTTAAAACTCAATTCACATTAATAAATGACAATTTTGCGAAGTAATTTGATATTTTTATCTCATCAAAGCAAAAATGATTTCTTAAATTTGGCTTCGATAAAATATATGTTGTTGATTTATTTTTAAGTAAAAAATTGATTAATACGCGCAATAAAATACATTTGATTTATTCAGCTTGCTCAGAAGGATTGAATTTTAATTATGCGGTATGCGGGAAACATGTTTACAATATTCTTCAGGCATATTATGATAATTTACAGTCGTCATATGTCACACCATTAATTATTTACAATAATCTAAAAAGCAATGTTTATTTTATACATATTTACAAACATTCATATTAAAAGTGCTTGATTACACACTGCAAGCGCACATTGCGAAAAAGAAGCAATGAGAAAAGAATTAGTGAAATAAATTGCAGACCATGTACGAAATGCACGAATTTCTGTTTATCGATTACAATGACCCTTGATGACTGATTTCAGCAATGTCAATTAATTTCAAAAGTAATTAAATTAATTTTTTACCTCTTTTTTTTAAATAAAAAATTAATCAGTTATATTATATTTAGATTAATTAGTTTATTAATCGATAAACTTGATCACTAAGAAGCCAACAATTGTTTGAGTTTTTAACTTTAATTTATATCTAATTGCAAGTCTTGGAAATTACTGAATCTAACAGAATCCAGTTGCACTGATAATACAAATTAATAAATTAACGATTTTATTATAATAGAATTTCTAATAATTTAATAGTTCTATAAAGAGAGGAGGAAAACGCATAATTTATCATGAATTCAGACTAACGAACTAACGCGAATAATTATTTCTCTTCTTCTACAAGCAGATGTAGAAAGAGGCACAAATTAATTAACACATTTCTCTCCTTTCTTGTCTCCTCTCTGTTTCTCTTTCTTGAATTCCAGTGCTGCATAAATAATGGTAGAAGTTTAACCGCGATGTTGGTGAAATAGGTCGGAAATTATTCATATCTACAAATCAACTGTTATAGCCGAAGATTCAGGAATCGTTCTTCAATACAGCTGTTCACGGTATACGGTGGTTAAAAAATGCATGACGGTTGAGCTGGACGACGAGCGTTAGTCGTCCGTGCCTAGCGGATAAGCGGCATGCATGATGCATATAGGACGGATATGTGCATGCATGAAGATTATAGACAGGGAGATATTCAACGTGATGGTACCGCGGGGACAATCGCGGTACCAAGGATAGTTCACGACGAGCAAGACACGCAAGAGGGTTCAAGAAGAAGAAAAGAGCGTTATCATCTATTCGTGATAAGTATAATAGAAAATCACAGGCTGGCTGGTGGCCCCCGGGCACGTCATCTAATTCTCTTTCTCGCATCGTTCTCTCACGACAGCAATGAAAATTACTTTTTTGTTTTAGAGGGTGAATATTGGAGGAGTCTAGGGACAACGAAGACGACAACAACGAGGCCAACGAAAAGGCTACGCTCGAGTAGGTATATCATTATCTTTCTGTACTTTTTTTTTTCAATTCGGTCGCTAACGACCGCTGCAGCAGCGAGCGGCGGCAGCAACAGCAATATATAGCAAACAAAAAAGAAGAAACAGGCATCAAGCCAGCCAACAACATCATAAACGACTGCGCGTACCGACAATCCGAGAGAGAAAGACAGAGAGAGGTAAATCGTGTTTCAACCCCCTTTTCTCTCTCTTTCTCTCTTTCCCACTGCCCCGTCTGCCTTGTTTCCTCGACTCGTTCACGATAAACAGTGATACATCGACATTTTGTCACCCCGTCGCTCGCGAGGGTTCCCTTCTTTTACGCGCTGCCCTTGTCCCGTTCGTGCCACTTTTATCGCGGACGGTTCGGTGCACGAACGACGACGATGACGCGGTTCAACGAATGGCGCGTCTCACTCGATCGCCAGCAAGGCGCAACGAAGCCTCCATCGCCCTCCTCGCGAATGTAGACGCACCCGTCACCCCCGAGCGTGCGTGCGACCACCCACGACCACCGACTGACGAACGAGCAGCCGCAGACAGCCGCACCGCACGCGCCTCTATCCTCTTTCTCCTTTTCTCTCTCCTCTTCTCCATTTCAGTCTCTCTCTCTCTCCCTCATCCTCCACTTCATCCCTTCTATCATCGGCAGCCGCGCGCGCAGGAGGAACCTCGCGCAGGGTTGAATCTAGGCGGGGGTACGAACATAACAGCAGCTGACCTGTCACTTTCACCGCACTCACACGGAATTAAGTGCCGCATTCGCAAAAAAAAGGAGACTTGACCGTGCTTGCAAAAGGATTCGGTTTTGAGATTAAAGATTAAAGATAATTGTCGATAGGAAAGAGAATTCCATATAAAAAAATTCATATAAATAAGAAAGGAGAGAAAAGAAGAAACAGAATTCATATAAAAGAATTTTTTTACGTTTACTTGGACTGCAGAGGGGTATTATATTTATTACAAAATTACATACGTACAAGCTAGAAAGAAGAGATTATTTTGTTGTGCTAGGAAAGAAAGAATGTTACGCCAGCAATAGTAAATTGCGCTTTGCGTTTGTACAGCAATTTGTATATATTTGTTATTCTTATTTTGCAAACGTAACAAAGGCGTAGGGATATGTTGTTGAACGCCGGGGCGCGCGTGCGAAAACGCCAAAGTCGAATTCTAGGACAACCCGCTTTGGAGGGCGCCTATCCGCCGCCCCGACTATAACCCGGTTACCTCGCCTTCTCGATCTCACCCGAGTCGATATCCGTGCTAGCCCGTTGCCTTTGACCTTTCACCTTTACCGCCCTAGCCTGATTTCGCGATGCAGCCAACGACCTGCCTTATTGGCCTCTACGTACTTTGTCGAAATTACGACAATTTTTAGGGCCAGCGCACGAACATTGCCGTAGCGTCTTACGCCTTACATGATGAGAATCTTGCGTTACGCTACACGCAAGCCAATCTTACGGCAACGCACAAAGAAGAACGTAACGTAATTAGTCTTATGTTACGTACGTTATGTTGCGCTTTTCTTCGTGCGTTGCCGTAAGATTGGGTTGCGTGTCGCGTAACGCAAGATTCTCGCGTAAGGCGTAAGACGCTACGGCAATGCTGGGCTCTTACTCGGACTGTTATAAATATTATATAAATGTAATAAATATTATATATATGTTATATATATATAATATTATATGTATAGAAAGTATAATAACTAATATGTAATATAAAAAAATAAAAGAAATAATATTTGATAATGTCAATAATATTCACTATGTAAAAATAATATTTGTTTCATGGATGAACATTTCTGTCATCTGGAAATCGTTTTTGCTGTAGAACTATAATAATATATATGTGTTTAATTGTTAGGCAGGAAATATAAGAGAAGAGGGAGAAAAGGAAGCTCTACTTTCTACATATATAACAGAAATTTAATTGATATTTCTTTTAATTTAATTTAATTTTCATACATAATTATTTTTGTGGAGCAAATATTTGATATACACATGTGTCATCTATAATAATTTATATGCATGTAAAATTTTTAAAATAAATTTTTATTTTAAAAATTTTATAGTGAAAATTAGCTGCCATCTTGGGGCACATTACCGATATCTCATGTGAAGAGAGACAAGACATTACTGTGCGTAAATCACGAAGGAATTTTGGTGCGCATCGATGATGATTCAGTGGCGAAATATTGCTTCGATAAGGGTCGAGGCGTAGAGGTATGGTCGCTTGCGATTAATAAACAGACCAGCGTAATTTATATGAAACTCGAGCAGGAGTTAGAAAACAATCCGATTGAGAAAAACCCGATGATACCGGACTTGGGACTTTCACCAAGTAATAAAGGTTTCGATTTTTCCGTACCTTCCGTTAGTCATGAAGGCTTCAACTTTACCACGCAAAATTACACACCAGATACGGCGGAATCTATTGATGGTTGCAACACATACGTACAATCAACATGACTCTTCAGGTATATCATCGTAAAAAGAAATTCAATTAAACAATTTGTTGCATTAAAATTAACATTCGTTAAATGTATGTGTTTTAGGGAGCGAATTAACGCTTTACACCAGAAAAAGTTGATGGCACGTCAAAGTTCTCCAAACCTCACTCCAATGAAAGAGTAGCCAAGAAACGAGATAGTGGCGGAGGAAAATTCAGCGTTCTTCAAAAATGGCTGAGAGGGAATGACAAATGTCATGGAGAGAAAAGAAGTTCTCCGGGCAGGTATTTATTCGCATGTGTATTTTTCCGAAAAGTTTTTAATATTTCAATGGAGTGCAATTTTTTCGATTTAAAGGATTTATTTATGCAGTTTTTTAAATTAAAAAATTTTTTTTTTAGTTTTATACATGAAGTTCGATATTATCGATTTTTTCGTGCATAAAAGTTAAGTCATATTGCTTCTTCTTATCATAAATTGCAAGTTTTCAAATTTTTTAAATTAAAAATTTTTTATTAATATACAAG